AAGTCAGATCAGTAACCTGGGACTTGGTCACAATTTTCGTTATACCATACGGCAGCAGGGTCTACCATTAGACAACACATTATACCTCAATATCTTCCCAGGTGGTAGTACCTCCCTGTTTGGTAGCTGCCTGTTGATTTAGGTGTTAGGTGTTGACCGTGTTGTGCTGTGTGTTGGACCAGGCATATAGCATTAGATATCAGGCGTTAGTTATAGATGTTTCTAGTGTTCTATGTTAGGTTCAGGTTAGGTGATGTGCTAGGTTATAGATTCTCTGTTAGATATCAAGTAAACATCTGGAATGAAACACAAACCCGGAAAGGTGTTCTACTGTTGATATTTACTCACTCATGCCACTGAGCAACACGATATACTCATTAAGTCTATGAGTCCATCACTCGCGGTGAACATAACACTTAGATTATTCTCAACAGGAAGACTATTCATGATATCAGTTACATAGGTGATGGATATTGTTTTTTATAATATCATCTTTCTTAAGAAGGCACTACCAAGCAGAAACAAGATTGGCACTACAGGCGGTCAACCCCACTCAAGTCCGCATCGCAACTAAGTCCAAGACCACAGGGCCATAATTCTTGACATTAATGACAGAAAATACTGGTTTAAAACTCGTCTCAGATTTTGTTGTGATATGTCCACATCCCAAGTTCAGTTAAAATCATGTGCTCTTTGTTCTATTATGTTCGTAAGTCTCAGACGGACGGGCGAACTGACGCAGAAGCTCGGAATAAGAAAAAACCGCTGACTTCCTCTCCTCCTCCCCAAAGGGCACCGAGGAGCAACAGGGTACAATATTCGGTGAAGAAAGTTGGTCATTAACTCAAGTATGAAAGTTCCTCTACTGCTCTACCTTCTTCCGTTAAATGTCGCTCTGTTGTTATAAAAGTCTTCCTAAATTCGTTTACTGAACTAGATTTTGGGATGTACTGTGTCGGTCACTCGTCTTTGGTGACCTTTTGCTTATATTTCCAAGATTCCTGATGGTGTAATGAAATAAACTTACTTCTACAGACGGACATGTTCCCCAATGCCAATCAGGTCACAGGGCCACTACAACTTTGAACATTGATGACAGAAAATACATTGACCGTCTCTGAGGTATCGTTGTCTAAGTCTCCTTCCCATAACTACCGGTGTTTATGTACGTAATTTAGCTTGTATGAGAGGATGGGGTCTTGGGTGCTAGGGTGGCGTCTTCCCTGTACCTGGCGGGGCTTGAGTGGGGAGAGGGTGGGCCACTAAGCAAAAACTAGCAGGTTCCCGTAAGGATGGACCAGCAGCGGGCGGCAACCGGAGGATCTTCAGACTATTTTTTTTTTTTTTCCCCAACCTTGAACATGGCTTTACCACCACTACCACTGTTACACACCCCCTGGTCACACTTACTCTTACCTTTACCACCGTTACCACCACTACCACTGCCACCATTTCACCATTTCTATCGCCAACACTACCACATGCCACCACTGACACCAACCTCGAACACCTACCATCATTGTCCTGTCAACAACCTCCACACCTAAATTCGCCCACACACCACCGCCAACGTCGACTCAGTCACCACAATCATCATCACTACCACCACCACTCGCCCACGTAACCACCGCCACCACCACACGACCTGTTGGCTGTTGCCTGAGGGAAATAAGAACAAGGAGAGCGGAAAATCTACGACTACAAGTTTCAGGTAGCAACAACTGGTTACTGGGGGGGTCTAGGTGATGGGTGATGCAGGCAGGAGAAGACAAAAGAGGACCTCGTAAGACACTGGAACTTGTTGTAAATCTTGTTACTCCGAACCCACATTCCATCTCTCTCTCTCTCTCTCTCTCTCTCTCTCTCTCTCTCTGACCTTATCTGCCCATTCCTCATCACTCGAACACCACCAGTGATGACCTTGTCCAGCAGACACCAAGGCAACTAGAACCGTGTGTTCGCTGTACCCAAGTATGTTTTATATAATCTCTTATGTTCGATCACAGTAAGGGTCATTGTTACGCAGTTTCCCTCGTCTGGAATCTTCCACGCCCAGCTGTTACCAGATCAAAAAACACACCCCTAATAGCAGATGGCGGGACAGTGTTGCCAGGCCCTGTGGGGTTGTAAGAATGTTTGTAACCTTGAGCTTAGATGTTAAATTTAGCTTCCTCAATGAAAATAAAAGAAAGTATCATATCTGCCTCACTAAACCTATGATAGATACAAAGTTGTCTTCCAAAATGTCATCAAAATTACAATGAGTTTCTAGTGTAACTACTTTGTATTTCTCTTTTAATAGTGAGTCAGACATTTCCCCCCTCCCCCCACCAGCTACTCACTTAACTGGAGATAGAAAAACGCATTGAAATGAGCCACAATTTACTTATAACACCAACAGCAGTAGTCTAAACAGCTTTAAATTCTTAATTAGACTAGAAATATCTTATCTCTATGATCCACTAGAAAATAAAATAAAGGAATATGAGATAACGAATTGTTGAGCATCAGGAGATGGTGATGGTGGTAGTTATGTTAGTTTAGGAATTTGTTTTTCATAAAGCCTACACGCCTAAATCGTTATTATAGCTACTGATAAACGCGCTTAATACCAGTGAATTTAGTTATATAGTCATTTCATCATCGTTTGATAACTATTCACGGACTGTTGATATCACCGTGAGAACGAGATGTAGTAATAACATAAAATTAGTCATGTTTTTTGTTTCAATTTTTGTAGGAACTAAGTAACTCAACGCTCGGTGCTGGAAAACTGTGAGGGTTGATTATGTAGTGCAGTATATTACACAGAAGACAGACCCAGTACCTGTCCTGTGTGAACGTGGGGATGAGACCACTGGACACCTACCTGCAGTGTCCCCTCCTCCACCTCTTTATCAACCCCAGCAAGTTGTATGTCCCGCCTCTGCTGCCACAACCTCCAGGAAAAGAAAAGAACCCCACTGGATATTCTCTGTTTCCTCCCAACTCTATGATTCAAGGCAGTTTTGGAAGATAATGTTTACAGACAGTTCACACAATAGAAGGTTCAAGAGTTCCTGTGGTGACTGTTGTTGTCTTATGTTTCTTGGTTAACTTTTTTAGACTCGAGGGCCTGACAGGGAGGTTTACCGTCTATAGTTTATTTATGTATATTGAAATAAAATTATCCACGTCGTCCATCAAGTGCAGGAGTTTTTAGTGTTGACACCGAGGCCGCCAAGAACAAGTCAAGATATCCAAAGCCATCAGTCACGCCGACCTGTAGATCGTATACTTTCACACATCGAAGTTTGCCATGTTACCTCCAGAGATGAGGAACTGCCGCCATTGTACATTAATTGGCACATGTTCACCAAAGCTTCAACTTAAATCTGAATAAAATAATCATATATTCCTCCAACTGCCTCATGACCTTGGGTGAGCTTGTTTACTAACCCTCGGTCACCTTGTTTAACCTGGTCTGGCGCATCATAGTCAACTTGTACACTGACCATGAGACCCTCGCCTGATACATCCGTGTGTCTAGAATTGCATTATTATTTTTATCTGATCTCCCTCGAAAGATGAGCACTTTGTCGACCCTGATCCGTCACCTTCCACCTGTTATCAGAAAGAACTCGTCCCTGTGTTGGCAGCTTAAGGTTGGTGTTACAGAGCTGCACGACCAGTCCTGTGCCTGCTGCTAACACATTATTATAACCCCACGCCCTGCTTAGTGACCAAACCGGTAGAGTTGTATAAATAGTAACGCAACCGTGTCATCACCAACTGACTCAACAAACACTCACTAACACGTAAATATTGAACAAACTTACAAAATTAGTCACTATTCATGTAGAGTCAGAACTATAGTGGTATTAAAGGAGAATGTTTGTTGAGACTATTTAAGAACTTGGGGTCTTGGTCGAGGTAGAGAATCAGATGGGAGCTGCCTGAGGTGATGGTGGTGGACGGTGTAGTGAAGCAAACCAACACCACGACAATCTCTGTTACAAGATTTATGACAAGCCACAACCTGTACCCTGTCTCACACACACACACACACACACACACACACACACACACACACACACACACACGCGCGCGCGCGCGCGCGCACGCCGGGGTTTATGGTGTATGGAAGCTCGCCTTTACACAAACTAACAACAATGAAACATCAGTTTATATATCTCAGTAACTCTTAGCCAGCGACATAATACTGAGAACACCTTCGGGTTGGTTAGAAATTACATGAAAAAGTATTAAAGTAAAATTTAATTCTAACACCTTGGTTCCAGCTCCCTAAACTCTTACACTACAAGCTGCATGGTGACGACTGTACCTTGATTAATATACCCAGTAAGAAAACTCAACTTGGTGGCTAGGTGGGGGTGAGGGGTGGTAGGAGGAGGTAGGAGGGAGGTAGTTCTTGGTGAGACAACTAAACAAACGCTGGGCACTCTCAAAAACTAATCCAGACGCCATGAGGAGTAAAAATAACCTTCCTGTTATCACTTTAATCATCTTGAGTTATCTAATAGTTCTCGGTTCTTGATAATCTTCTAATATTAGTTTAGAATCTTTTGAGGGTTTCTAAGATATTTCCCAGAGTTCTTGTACCATTATGCTGGCCCCAGTATACTGTACTGTTATCTCCTTGTTATGACTGCGGGTCTAGTATTATGACGGCTGGGAGGTGTCTCAGTCGATCGTCTTGCTGGTATAATGTATCGAGGAGGAGGAAGTGGGCGCCTCTATGAAGCTTTTGATCAATTTCCCCTGTATCTCTTCCGTTTTCTTTATTATTATTATTATTATTATTATTATTATTATTATTGTTATTATTATAGCTCTCCTTATTTTCCTTTTTGTTATTTTTTATCGCTATATTATGGTACCATTACATATATCTCAATTTTGTTATCAGGATGAGGTAAGAATGACCAATACTCACCTGTGTAGTAGTTCCTTATTAAAACTATTTTCTTTATTCATTAGGAAAAGACAAAAGTGTTTGGGATGATGTTTTTTTTTATTTTTTTGCTGCACGACTACAATAAGGGGGTATATTACCACCCATCACCATAAGAGGGGGGTCACCCATCACCATAAGTGGAGGTCACCCATCACCATAAGTAGAGGTCACCCATCACCATAAGTGGGGGTCACCCATCACCATAAGTGGGGGTCACCCATCACCATAAGTGGGGGTCACCCATCACCATAAGTGGGGGTCACCCATCACCATAAGTGGAGGTCGCCCATCACCATAAGTGGGGGTCACCCATCACCATAAGTGGGGGTCAACCATCACCTGATCTTGGGGCCCCTCACCCACACGTCTCTCACAACAGACATCCGCCTTGTACAGTACTGCTAGCAGCCACATGTAGCCACGGACGTGAGTATAGTAGCCACGAACGCATCAGCGACACAGACGAAGCAAATCATGAACGAGCCAAGGTTCTTCAGCTGTTTTAAGAAATGAAAGAGAGGGCGTGGTCGACAGGGCTTAAGCTTCGGTCACACCTGCTGTGGGTGTCTGTGCATGAGTGGCAGGGACGAAGGGGAAGGGACTGTAGAAGGGGAAGCCATGTGTGTAAGGCGCGAAGTTTTGAGTGAAAGGAATGGTGTAGGTGATTGGTTGGCCTTTGGTGGCCTCAGGAGTCACTGGTCGTACATAAGTGAGAGGCGACGCGTAACCGAAGGCGGGATACTCGTATTCCTTGGTGGTAAGGACGATCTTGTCAGTGTCTGCGGGGGTGTCGGCCTCAGCAGATTCGAACTGCTGCGTCGTGAACTTGGTGGAGGTGACGGGGTGTGCGAAAGGGAAGGAGACGACTTGTGGAATTTGAGGTGTTGAGCGACGTCGGCGACGAGCCTCCTCAACGGCATTACCTTCCTCTGCTGCTGGAGTTACTTCACTCTGAGGCCTTAGTGGGGCTCTTACGAAGGGGAAGCCATGGTAGTTGAATGGGATGGTGTAAGGAGTGACAGGATTGAAAGGATATGTATACACAAACTGGGGAGTATTGGGGATATGTACCGCAGTGGGGATGTCCTGACCGGTTACCGTCTTGAGTGTGGGGGCGTCCTTAGCGGCGGGGACAGGGTAGGTAAAGAATACTGCCTGACGCTTTCGGCGGGTGGGTGTTGCCTCCTCGGAGGTGGACGGTCTGGCGGCTGCAGCATCGTACAGTTTCTGGAAGGCCTCCCGGGCTTCAGCTACCTCGGCAGTGTACTGCACTGGCTCAGGAGCGACGTTGGTGTCTACAGGGGGGGAAAGTTCCGCAGTTACTGCCTCGGGAAGGTTGTTGGATTTGACGCGGTAGCCTGTTTTCGCTCCAGCCTCGTAAAAGGTGACAACAGGTTTCCCTTCGGGGTTGATGTAGGAGTACTGGCCAACAACACTACCGTCAGGTCGGCGTGTCTGGTGGTGATTCTGGTTGTAACCGTAGTAGCCAAACGTCGACTGACCGAAGGCGTCCTGCAAGCGGTACTGTTGCGCGATAGAGTATGGCAATATTACCTGGGCGCTGCAGCACCAAGCGAAAGCCAGAACTACCTGTTAACAAGAAGACAAACAACAGTTACACTTTAATCATCACCATCAGCAATTTATGTGTAGTACAGCGGTAATAACATAAACCATATTACTTAATACTGGTGGTTACGGTACACGACATCTTTTAAAACAGTCAAAACAAACCAACTAACCCAACTTACCTAATTCGCTGATATCAAGTTAGGTTAGGTTAGGTTAGGTTAGGTTAGGTTAGGTTAGGTTAGGTTAGGTTAGGTTAGGTTGAGAATTAATTGATTGGTCTGTTTAGCCCCTACATAACATGGCCCGGACGATACTCACCAAAACTAAATTCCAGAAAATCCCAAATTTAAGGAAGTTTTATAATACAGTTTGATGGGGAGAACAACATGTGGCTAGTGATCATCTGTTTAACCTGACTGAGTATAAGTTGATCTGTTTTGTCTCTTGTTAACTGAGGGATGGATCATATGGCTCGACGATACACACACACACACACACACTTACACAAATACACACATATACACCCTTGCACAAACACACACGCATGTACCCTTACACAAACACACACACACATGCGCTCTTGCACAATGACACACACACACACACACATACACTCTTGCACAAACACACACATACTTATACAAACACACATACTGCATATGTACCCTTATACAAGCACACGGACACATACATGTACCCTTGCACAAACACACACACATATGCACCCTTACACAAACACACAAACACATGCACACATACACACAAACAAGAAACCCTGCACAAACACAAACCCTTACACAAACACACACACATACACCCTTACACACACACACACACACTTAAACTGTTTCACAATATACAACAGTCTCACCTCATTAAGTCTCACAGCAGAATAAGTACCACCAATTTATGGAAAAAAATATACATCAAAAGTTACCCAGAGGAACAAAATGTGTTGTGTCGACCTAACGCCTGCCAGCGGACACACCTGAAGGAGAATGTCTTCACGCTGGACGACAGACACCAAGACCTGAGACCACCAGCAGTTCCAGTACTAAGACCTAGATCCTCCTCTCCTCTCCTCTCTCTAACTTCCTGAAGCAGAGCTACTCACCAGGAGCTTCATGGTGATGTTGTAGACGTGAGCTGCTAATGCCTGCTGCTGCTTCTCTGTCCTCGCCCCGACAATATATAGAGCCTCAGCGCCCCGTCAAGGTCACCTGGAGTTTGACCACCTAAGTATCAACCAGGTTCATGAATAGTCTTCAAAAAATTCCAAAATTTCTACATTACTGGAGAAATAATTGAGATAATTGGCTCCTCAGATTGAAAAAAAAGTATCCTGAAGGTTTGACTATTCTAAAGTTACTGTCAAATCTCTGGTTTTTGTATTTGACTTGACCATCGAGGACGAAGTTGAAACCGGGAGGCATGTAAGGGGAGGGTGGAAGGGGTGGAAGGGGTGGAGGGTAGTGAGGCTCTGGGCGTGTCTAACCACCCAGAGAGGAACAACTGGTTTAACTGTTTACTTGAAGCTTCGTTGACTTTTTTTTTTAATTTATTCATATTTTTTGTATTTTCTTTGTGTTATTTTCGCCTTTATGAATGACGTCTTATGCACATTTGGTGTCTTCAACTACTGATGGATGACGCTGGTGTATGGAGCGACTCTGAGGCAGGAGACTACCATAGTGGCGCCCATCCTTGACACCTGTGACGCTAAATGATTGAGAGAGTGAAAGAAAAATGTGTGTATGAATTTACCTTTGTTTCTGACTATCTTGTGTCATTTGGAATAAGGCATGAAAGAGTTAACGCACACACACACACACACACACACACACACACACACACACACACCCACACACACACACACACACACACACACACACACACACACAACCCAAAAAGTATCGGGACCCCAGAAGCAAATAGAGGATAAAATGAACGATAGCCTAAAAATGCTAACATATAGGATGGGTTGGGTTGGGTTGGAGTTGGAGTTGGGATAAGGTTAGGTTGGGATGGGATGGGTTGGAGTTGGGTTAAGGATGGGTTAGGTTGGGTTGGGATGGGTTAGGTTGGGATAAGGATGGGTTAGGTTGGGTTGGGATAAGTTAGGTGGGTTAAGGATGGGTTAGGTTGGGTTAGGTTGGGTTAGGTTGGGTTGGGATAGGATGGGTTGGGTTAGGTTGGGTTGGGATGGGTTAGGTTAGGTTGGGTTGATCTTCGTCTAATATTTCATATTTTTTCGGACGCCTGAGGTCTCGGTGGTCTAGCTGTCCCTCGACCTCTTCAACCTTCCTTCAACACCTAAAGTTCCTCAGCTCCTTATAATCATTACTTCATCTCTCAGTTAATCATCATTTTATCTCCTTTTGTCTCATTGGATCCTACTACAGATAAGTCAATTCTCTATCTTCTTATCTCAATCTCTCTCCTGTTCAATGTCTCTTCACTCTCTTTCTCTCTAGGTTATATTCAGTATTTATTTTGTATTACATTTATTTGGTATATCCTTCACAGTTAGTAAGTGTAGTGTAGCGAGTAAGTGGATACAGGGCTTTGGTTTTACCGGCTATTAATGTGTACAGTACTTTATTACACATACATACATAAATACACATACACATACACACACATACATATACAAGCGTACACATTCATACATAGTCGAGGGTTCGATCCCTGAGAGGTATGAATATTTTCCTAGTAAAAGTATTTTAACCGTGACCTGTAACCTTGACCTTATGACCTTGACCTTATGAACGTGACCTTATAACCTTGACCATACAACCTTGACCTTGTGACCTTGACCTTATGACCTTGACCTTATGAACTTGACCTTATAACCTTGACCTTGTGACCTTGGCCATAAGCATCAACATTATCATCATTGCTTTCAACATTAACCAAATCAATTTTTTAACGTAAACATTCATTAAACAATTCCTCGCCTGGTGTTAATATGAGACAGTTTTCCACATTACTCCTAACATTCTGTACACTGTTAATGGTGTTGATCTACACCGTGAAGTACTGAACCTAACCTAACCTAACCTAACCTAAACTAACCTAACCTAGCAAACTAACGTAATCAAAGCTAAGCTAAGTTAATCTAACCTACCCTAATCTAACAACCTACCCTAACTTATCCTAACCGAAGCAAATCTAGCCTAAGTTAATCTAATCTAACCTTAACTAATCAGAGCTAACCTAAACTTAACATCCAACAATTACCTAACCTAACCTAACCTAACCTAACCTAACCTAACCTAACCTAACCCTAACCTAACTAGTTGCTAAATATAGTTTATTCTACTCCCAACATAACCTAGAAGGATCCGAAGGCTTATAATGAAAATCAGGGTTCATTTCTGGATTCATATTAGGTTTCAGGTTCGGATTGGGGTTCAGGTTTTTGTTTGAGGTTCGGGTTCAGGTTCGGTTTGGGTTCGAGGTTCGGGTTCAGGTTTGGGTTGGGTTCGAGGTTCATGTTCGGGTTCGGTGTGTAGAGATCAGCATGAGGAGGTGTTGTCTGTGCGTCGGAGGAACGGATTGGGATGCATGGACGCTGATGGTGGGTTTATATGGACTCTAGTCAAGGTCGGTGTAATGATTGTTTCACCACACACACACACACACACACACACACACACACACACACACACACACAGGTAACAACAGTCACACCCTAAGCAACCAACTGGAGCACTATCTCCCCTCCCCTCCCCTCCCCCCTCCTTCCCTCCCCTTCACATCTTCTCTTTCTCTCCTCCTTTTCCTCCTCCTCCTTTTTCTTCTTCTTTGTTGTGTTTCTTTTCCTATTCTCTCCTTTCCGTTTTATCACAATTCTCCTTGTTCACTTATTCATACTGTGTGAACGACTCTCTCTCTCTCTCTCTCTCTTTTCTTGTATTTGAACATAATACAAATACACTTAACTAAATGACTTAAGTTTAAAAACACAAAATAACATCGAAAAATACCATATTTATCTAAAGTTTACCAATTATATGCGTTCAAACATTATCATTTTCAAAGACAATTTATTATACGAGTCTCTGATATATGAATCCTGGTGAGCTGGGAGACCTTGAATTGTGATTAGCGTGACCTTGTAGAGGGTGTGGACCTGAAGGGGGCGTGGGCTGGTGACAGAGAGTGCTATGCAACCTCCAGGATAACAGTAAAGTCGAGGACCCAGTGAGAGCTTACTGTATATTGAACTGTATTGTATAATTCGTCTAAGTTTTATCTGGATCGAGAGACTTTTGTTTCTCATGTAGATTTTTGTCGCCTCTTTTATGATAATTTGATCCAGATTAACAAAAATATAATATTGTTTGCTTATATTTAGTCGATATGTTCATGTATTAAAAAAGAATCAAGAATTTCCTGTTAATTTGTTTTTAATTTAAGAAGTTTTAAAAAATTTAAATTCTATCTATAGTTATGAGTTAATTTGATTTACAACATTTGATGAAGTTAGTAGGTGTTGAATATGGATGATAATGTGATCAGTATTACCTGAAGACGTTAATGTGTGTTAAATATGGGTGTTAACCTCATCAAGGATCATTTGGAATGCTAATATTTTTTATGTTTTTGTTAACTCCATCGCTGGCACTCAATATGGGAGGATTATTGTTGACTCAATTTATTTCGACATTTTACTTAATCTCCGCCTAAATTTAACATAAAAAGAATCATCACGCCCACAAAACATCACCCACGCCCATAATATCTTTCATTATGTCCTTAAAACCTTTCACCACGCCCATAAACCATCAGCCAAGCCAATTTGTGACAATTCTCCTAACGTAAAAACAAAATCCCTTCACAAATCATACGTAAACAAGATCCAAACTCTCTTCATTGTTGATCGACAGTTCTTTCCACTGTCATGTTTTTAACCCTGTCATTTGCTCCAGACGACGCACAAACACAACTACCATCCTTCCCTAACCTTCCTCTGGTACCGTAGCCGCAGTCCAGCCTTCCAGGGTTCCACAGACACACCCTCTTGTGATATCCTTTAAGCTAAGGGTCGCCCTCCTGTGTAAACAGCCGTCCATCACTGTCGCGAGGAAGAGCCATTACTGTTTACCATCGCTGCCCTCAGAATGCCCACAGATGGAGCCTCAGTGTGATGCTCAAAGGTTAAAGTTTCATAAATCACCATCTAGCCAAAAGTCTCTCAGAAAAATAGTCTGGTGGGACATATGGAAGGCTGTAACTTACATAACCATTTATTACCATTGTGTCTTTTGGGATAGCCGGAGGACGTTCATTACACACCTCACTTAAAGTGTACCTTGTGCCTCATACGGTACGTGTTCCATGTGGCAGAGTGCAGGCAGGGGTGTGGCAGAGTGCAGGCAGGGGTGCGACAGAATGCAGGCTAGGGTGTGGCAGAGTGCAGGGGGGGGAGAGTGCAGGCAGGGGTGTGGCAGGGAAGGCACCAGAACAAGCAAGTGGGTGAGATGGTGGGGATGGCAAGGGTGCCAGTAGATGAAGGTAAGCTGAAGGTACTGTGGTGTGGTTATCAAGGCTACTTATTGGAGGAATTTGCTCTAGGAGGAGCATGGCTTTAACGTGCTCACCTTACCTGATGTGTGTGTGTGGGCTGACAGCAGGATGTGGAGTGTGTGACAGTGACCACTTAATAAAGGGTGACTAGAATATTAACAGAAAGTGAGCCGAATGAAAAACATCACAAAGGTGAGTCACAACACACAACATGAGGCACGGCACGGCGACACAGGTGACACAGGTGACACAGGTGACACAGGTGACACGCGACACAGGTGACACAGGCGACACAGGCGACACAGGTGACACAGGCGACACAGGTGACACACGCGACACAGGTGACACAGGGACACAGGCGACACGGGTGGCACAGGCGACACAGGCGACACAGGTGGCACAGGTGACACAGGCGACAGGTGACACAGGCGACACAGGTGCTGGGTGACACAGGCGACACACAGGTGACACAGGTGACACAGGCGACACAGGTGACACAGGCGACACAAGGCGACAAGGCGACACAGGTGACACAGGTGACACAGGCGACACAGGTGACACAGGCGACACAGGCGACACAGGTGACACAGGTGACACAGGTGACACAGGTGACACAGGCGACACAGGTGACACACAGCGACACAGGTGGCACAGGTGACCTGGGCGACACAGGCGACACAAGCG